TTGGGGCTCGTCGTCTTCGGTAACGCTTTCATTTGATCTATGCGTCTCCAAGCCCCTCCGAGGACGTCAAGCACCAGGCAGCGTCTCTGCGTACGCGCCTCCTTCCACTAGACGGGAAAAGAGGATCAAATGTGTCTATTTTTCTAGTCATAATCGAAACTATTTTTTATTTTTTTCCAAGGAGTTCCAAGGTTCCAAACCATAGACACTCCTCACATGATCAGAAGCTACATACTTGTCTTTTAATAGCTGCTCGCTTTGGAAATTACTTATAAAAATTAATTATAACGACACAAATTACAACTCAAGTGAATCACCATTGCCTCATTCACAATGCAAACTTCAATGTAACGTAATGCCGTAAACTTAGCAGTAAAATTATCAACTAAAAACACAAATTCACAATAACAATCGTAAGCTGGAACGTAGGTTTCGCCTGAGCCAATCCGATTTCGGGGTGTTGAAGCTTGATCGATTGTCGATTCGTTTCTAGCATGCTGAAAAGATCTGTCCACTATGTCTAGCATTTTCTTCCACTTTCCTATCGATAAATAAATGCGAGTAGCTATTGTATTAGTGATCGAGTTTCCTTTACTTTATAAACAAGAATTCACTTGTACCAAATGCACGAGTGATTCGTCGAACGTAATTATTTTATCCGCCACGTCAAGTTAAAGTCACAAGAAAAGTGTCCCAAATTCTTACTTTGAATCCACTACTCGCGTCAAAACAGTTCGCAATCTAGTTCAACACATAACCAGAAACTACCTGAATACAATCCATGTTTGTTTCTCTCATGCTGCTCTCTGATTGGTCTTCGGTCGAATTCGGACGTAAACTTGAGGTAAAGGCTTGGTGCTTGTAAACTCTTTAAGTTTACGGGCTTACGTGTAGGGTTACGTGAAGGCATTGTAAATAGTCTTGCTTAATAACTCATTTCTAGTTTTGGGGCTATGTTATGTTTACATTTTAAGTTAACATTGTGAATGAAGCCTTGGGTCTGTTCCAGCTCTGATCTGCCTCATGATCTTCAGCGTTGCTATGTACTACGGCTACCTCAGCACGACGGACGTCTTCAGGGAAGATGAAAACAAAATGTCTCTTTTGATAACAACTATATAATTTTGACAATAAAATAATAATAATAATGTTTGTATTGTTAAATAATTTGCAACTAATGTCCTTCGGTTTCATTAATTTTTCTAACTGCAATGATTTGGAAGTTCTAAAATCTTCAGAAACATGTGTAAAAACAATTAATAGTGTTTTAGGTCGTATCAATCATGTGAGTGATTAGCGACCCCACACCTCATTCTCAATACATTTACAAAACACATTATTCTTACATTATTATTTTTAACTACTACATTACATTAATCACAGTTTGAGTTTAGTTCATTATTAAATTCTGAGAATTTTACTCTAAACACTATTTCAGAAAAACTTTATATTTGGCTGTACAGATTGATTTCTTTCAGGAAATTAATAATTTTGTTACGTAACTCCTTGTTTTTAAACAGTACAGCTGGTGTGTTCAGTTTGTATTTTAGTCCGCTGGTCTCGTATTTATGTGCCCAACAGAGAAAATCACATTGCATCGGTCGCACATGGCTGCAGCATTGTTCGAGATGTAATGTTGATGGGTGAACTCGGTGCGATCTATTTTGCAACTCATTAATACTTCTTGATCCCCTCTGCAATAGGCGATAGCTGCATTGACATCTTGGAACTCTTTAATGACTCTTAATTTGCAACTTAACTCATTCCACTCATGGCCGTGCAGGTCTTCTATGTTGTTTTTAATCCTTTTGAAATGTTCCTGGAAAGAGAATTCATTTTTCCTCATGTAACAAAAATAACGTACATAGTGCCCTCTGGTCACCTGGACCTTTTTCCCTGGGTTTGCCCTGTATTTCACGCGCGTCAAAGTGAAATGAAGGTAATTGTTTACAACAATCATTTCGACCTGAAATAATATTTTTTCTACTAGTTTAAAACTCGAAATTCTCTCCAGCTCTTCTAGAAAACGATTTCCCCCCGTTATATTCAATTTAAATTTTCAACCACTTTACACTTCGAAATTTAAAACTTATTTATAATCGGCAGAAAACGTAGTTGAAATATTTTAATTCCAACGTAAAAAAACAATCTACTCCGCAAAATTGTTTTTGAAAAAACAGAAACATAAGGATGGGTCGTTAGATCTATAAAAATTGTAATGTAGAACATCTATTTTTATGTTTAAAATGTAGTGAATTGTATAAGATTTGTGGAGGCATAAGTGAAAAAGATGACCAATTTTTACAAAATAATATTTCCTTCTTTTTTCGGATCACCCACTTTGGAGTACAATAGATTAGTTACTTTTTATGGTTTTTTTTTTTTTTTTTTTTTTACGTTTCTTCCAATATTCTTTCATATGTTGCCATTTTTCTCTCTTCTGACACTTTAAATAGTATTTTATTGATTTGAAATATATTTTTCGTTTTTGGCTCGAGATTTATAGTGGAAGTGTTTACTTAGAAAATGTCGGCTCCGATGGCGATGCTGAAGGAGGAAAGAGGATCTAAGGATGTTTAACCACTCAGAGAAATCAATACATAGTCCTTCAACAGTATAGTTATCGAACTGTTATTTTACAAATGTTCGTACTAATGTACGGTCTTGCGGCTTTTACTCGTACTGCCCCACGGGTAGGCGCTCACTTTCCACGACGCGACCGCCAGTTCGACTCCCGGTCGAGCCAAGACTATAGTGTGCGCTTTCCTTGCAATGCCCCAGAATATGTTGCTGTGTGGCGATGGGTAAACCAGAGTGAGGTGTCTAGCAGCCGACTGCTTAGATCGGTAACTTTATGTGCTTTCTCCGACCCAAGATGAAAGCCGGAGCACTGCCCTAACACACTAAAGTGCGCTCCGAGCCAGGAGCCCGCGTCTCCCCACGCAGCACCACCGCCACCTGCCGAGCGAAAAACGAGCGACTAACGACACTCAACAAGAGTGCGGCTATGTGCGAACCCTTAAGCCATGGCTGCAAGGTCGGGAGGCCGCTGGTATGCACACACACACACAGACATTTATTATTGAACATCGGCGTCGGCCGCGGTTACGTGCCCAACACTGCTCGTGTCCCACACAAACGATTAGACAATTTGAAGGGCTGAGCGCAGTAGTGGTCTAACCCTGCAAAAATCAAAAATAGGTTATTGACCCTATTTGTCACCTAAGAAAGTGAACTATCTTTGTACATTGTTGGTTTTACCAGCCTTGCTCTGTAAAGTTAAAACTTAAGTCTCTGTTTTGCACACAACTCTATCTTGCCACAACTGTGTAACTTAAACTGGATTTTCTCAGTTTTCTTAAAATGTGGCTTAGACCAAAGAGTATATATCAGAGACGGCACTCAATATTAAAAGGAAAAGCCTTATTTGCCCAACTTCCGGTGCCGCCACATTGTTCTGTATAATTTCTATTGGGTGAACGGACAGCCAATAGCGAAGAAGTAACCGGTAAATTTGAAATAAACCAGCGACGCGGGAACTTTAAAATTTCACTCCCATACTTTCCACGCCTTAATTTATTAAAAAATTCACAATAATAATTATAAGGATCATATGGAAGAAAAAAAGTCAAATTAGGGTAGTAAAATCTAGAATTTATTGAGCATATTGATATTATATAATTTCATTAGTAATAACAATTTTGAATTACAGAAAGTAATAAACAGTACACCTGCATAATTGCAACTTTAGTACGTGCTTGTAGATATGCCAAATTAATACTATGGAATACATTATTTACAAGCATTATGAATAAACAATAACAGAATTGAAAAGAAACAAATGAAAATACTACCGCAAATTGCTCAGGTAAAAGAAATAGTTACGATACAAGGGGTAAAAGCGCCATTTTATTTTTGATCTGATTAGGTCACATGAAAGTATTTTTTTTCTTTGTTGCTTTCAAAGTTTTATCAGAACATTTGAGCATTGTCCCACTTTCATCAGCAGTGCAAAAAATTGAGCTTTTAGCATGCTCTGCATGTCTGGAAAGAACCGCTTTTACTAGTTGCAACCTAAAAATGTTTTTCATTAGTCAATAAATATTTGACATATTTTATTTACCCATGCTAATCTCACACATGCACAGTTCAGAGTCTGGCTTTTTTAAAATGGAATCCACAGTGAAAGTATATTCACCTTTAAAACAATGATTAACAAATAGTGGAATTCCTTCAATGCTTATGCACTACAATTTAATAATAATTCTGAAAGTGGACTGTCAATGTGCAAATATTTTATTGCACCAGGAGCAAAGCCTGGGACCTTCTGATAACTGGGCAATGTCCTAATAACTGAGCTATAGAATCAAGCATTGCATTCACGACTCACAATCTAATAAGGATCAGCATTCAAATCGAGAATGTAATTGTCATGACGAAGAACAAAACACAATGATACACACATACTAGAATATAAATTGAATCAAGATTGTGTTTGTCATGAGAAACTATTATTGTCAGAACAGTATAACAATACATAAACAACTTATATCAATACTAATAAAAAAAGTAATACTAATAAGAAAGAAATCAATTGCAGACTAGATAATAGCCATTAAATAAATTCTAAAATTGCATGAAAATAGCCTCTGAAACAAACTCAAAATCTTTGTATTCATAATATTCAAATAAAGTGTCTTAACATAGCAAGAGGCATTCCAAAATTGAGAAAATGATCATGCTTTACAGAATTAATTTTATTTTTAAATTTTATTTAATTAGAACTTTCCAAATCAGATGTGGGAAATACAGTTTATATAATTGATCAGTACCCAATGACACAATACACACTGATTTTAAAACTCTCATTGTTCATACCTTTACAAACTGTCAACAAAAAAGAGATAGGTTCAGAAACTTTGTGCACAATGAAGCAAGTCATTCACTGCACTTGTCCAAGTACAAGGATCCGTAATGACCAAAAAAAGAGTTTTTTATTTACTATAATTAGCCCTTAATTGGCACTAATAACTGTATATTGAAAGGAACATACCATGAGAAACATCCATAAAAACTTGAATGACACCTCACATGGATGAAAAAGATCTGAAAATGGAAACAAACTTGAGATCTATCCCATCTTCAATAAATTCAACAAAGTAATAATTGAGATTCTTCAAGATTATAGCAAATATTTACCTTTCACAAGGCTAGAATAAGCATCTGTTGCACTTGCTGTAGCAGCATGTTCAACAGCACTAGATCCTGTATTAATCAACAAAATAGTACCATTACATTATGTCTTCAATAGTATGCTTCCTTTTGCATTTTACAAACATACAAGAGACTTACCATTTTCAGTTTGAAAAGCTGCCTGTGTGTACAAGGATCTGAAAATTAAGAAATGCTGGTCTCATAGCCTCCCATCAAACTATATATTCTACTAAAACTAAAAAAATATATTCTATTAAAACTATATTCCAGTATAATTCTATTAAAAAAGTCTCACCAATTACACCCATAGCTGCAGTGGGTGTCACCTCACTTCCAAACAAGGGATTTGCAACTGAACATGAACATTAAAAAAAGTCCACTATTTGTTATGCACTCATCATCTTCTCGAAGCCAAAATGCACGCTTCAGACTCCAAACAGCAGTAAATCAGTGGCTGCGATATGGCGTAAACAGCCCTACGAACAGCACGTGAATATACGACGATAGGTCGACGAGGAAGGAATCCAACGGTTTTTGTTGTTGTTGTTGTGTTTTTTTTTTTTTTTTTTTTTTTTTTTAAAAATTTCAAAAATGAATAATAGTGGCAATATTCTCCGCTTGAAGCGAGTTGGTGTTTGTACAGATTCGCTCTGAACTCTGATTGGCTACCGTATGGAATTTGAATAAGGACCGGATGTGCCCTATCTACTAGTAGTGTCACACCTGCTGGCAACCAGGGCGCGGAGCGGTTGGTTATTCTCAGACGCGGTGCGGTGCGGTGAAGTGAACATGATGCCTAAGTTGCAAAATTCGCCCATAGCCAAAGCACTGGTGGAGTAGCATTGAAATGAATATCGTCAGACTGCGTGGACTTCGTTTGTACCAGGTCAAAAAAAAAAAAAACAACTAGAATTGCTGGCGTCGTTGGTGCTTGTTAAGCACGTGGTTTGTCGCGTTAGATTGTTTTACTAATATTTCTCATGCACACGTGTATGAGAACTCGTAAATACACCAGCAGCCGTCCAAAGACTCCTGTGAGGCGAGGAGAATGGTTTCTGCTGTTTAACTGCTATTTACGTCTGTTCCTGAGCCAAGTAAGTCTTCCAAGAACTTATGTATGGTGGGTTACCAGGTTTTCTTGGGAATCTGTCTTAATTTTTGTTATGGCGGATTGTTTTCTTTAAGGGCAATTTCGTTCCCTTAACTCCTAGACTCTGGGGTCTTTTCTGGCCCCCAGGCGCAAGTAATGTTGTGCAACACTGAAAATATTATCCTTTTAGATATGCTAATTATGTCCAGTTTTACATGTGTTTTAAACTTTTCAGTTTTTTAAAATGATCTTGGATTGAAGTAATTTTATTTTTATGCGTTTGAAATTACAAATATTCCCAGATAGATTCCACATTACACATCTAAATAACAAGAAAAATTGTAAGAATGTGTTCATTTCCGTTTTATATTATGTTGTTGTTTCATAATTAGTCTGGTGTATTTGTCTATTCCAAAGTAGTAGCTTTGTATTGGACATCCCCTTGCTGTTTATTTATTTGCAGCAATAACTGTGTGGTGTGCTATGGGGAGAAGTTAATTTGAATGTGTTATACTGTTATGGTTAACATCTATGTTTTTATAGTTGTGATATACTAGAATGTTTTTCTAGGAATATTATTCTTTGTGGTTTTAGAACAATGAAACAAATAAATAGCATCATTGTCGTAATTAATAATTCCAAATAGCATCTGTACATGAAATACACATAAACTATGGGCCAAACATGTGGGGTCAACTGTGACCCCCAAACATTGCCCACATAAGTAATGGCGAAGCAGAGTCGATGGGACTGGCATGAAGCGTATCACATGCTCATAGCAATAGTAGCTCCCATTTCAGCAGATGCAAATTAATGAATGTGAATAACTTTCTTCTAGGTGGTATAGTTTGGCCTCACAATTGTGGTTTCTTTTGCTAAAAACCTATGGAAATTAGTTGTAGAGATTAGAGAAATTAGATTTTGGTGTTAGATGATATCAAGAAATTTAGAAATTAATGATGTTCGAGGAGATTTTGACAAAATTATTCAGTTTTAAACAACGATGTAACTTTTAACTATTGACTTTCCTTTTTGAAACCACATTAATGGGAATGGAATTTTTTAAAAGAATTTCCTTTTTGTTTCAATTCCTTCAATAAAGGAAATGATATTGTGTTGATTTACACATTGTTTCAAAAGAGATTGCTTTGTCATCAGGGACGCTGCAGTGGAAGTAATTTCTTCCTCTACGTATGCTTTCCATCACCTGAGTGCTGCCTCGGAAGTGAACCAATAGGAACAGAAAATAGTAAACCTCATTTGACTGCATGCTGTTCGTCACCTGCATGCTGCTTTGGGAAGTGTACCAACTGGAGCAGAAAACAGTAAACATCATTTGGCTGGAGATAGTGAATGAAGAATAGTAGAATTAAATATTGTTGTTCAGTGTCTACTACATAATCTACTTTGTTTAATGAGAAAGTTGCTGTGTTTTTATTATGTGGTTCAGGAGATTAATGCTTTGGTGTGTTTTATTGATTGTGTGCACTTATTGTTAGTAGAGGCAAGTTTCATTTCAGACATATTTTGATGTAGATCTTAAACTTCCAAATAATAATTATTCGTGGACAGATGTACAGGAAGTGCTCTTATTTTTATGGGAACATTATTTTTTTGAATATTCTGTCTTTTTTAAAAATCTGAATTTTTCTATTGAGAGCATTCTTTTTTTTAAATTTATTTTATTATTATTATTAGCAAAGGAGAAAATGTATTTTTGATTATGTAAAACTCTAAAGTACTATGGTACTCACGGAAGGAATTGCAGATTTTGTGCACCATTAAAATGTCTTTTCTGATTTTAAAAATTGATACAACTTGTAGCCTTTTTTCCACCCATTTTAATTTTTTTAGAATTTGTCTTCAAAGTTTTGTTACAGGTTAAATGATTACTGCAATATAAGTTGGTTCATTCGGAGATCAGGACTTGAGAAATAGAAGGCAATGCGGGTATAAGATTATTTCATCATGAATTGTACGCATTAACTTGATATTCGCATTTCAATCAAACATCAAACATTTCAACTAATTGTAATGTATTCAGTGAGAGACTTCTTAATTTCTACAAAAAATTTTCAAATAGTGTAACTTAATTGGATTTGACTTTGGAAGGGACTAAGGAAATGTTTGACCCTTTCCGCAGAGAAACATAATCATATTATTAAAGGAGGAAATAAGAAACAAGCATCTTCAGCAATACAAAAGATGAAGAACACTCAGTCTCAGAATTATTTTTGAATTTTTTAAAGAAGTGTTTCAAATTATCAGCACAAATTGTAAAATAAATGGGGAAAATATATCCTAAGACCAACAAACCAACAAAAATTGTCCAACACCGTTAGATATTTTGTCTTGGGATGTAGTCTTTCCAACACCGACTTGGATATTTTCATGTTCAATGTACAATTTTTGAATCAGAATCATCAAAGATTTAGCATAGAGTTCAATCCAGTTGTTTCTTTAATGTAAATTTGATATCTTTTAATCCTGTGCCCTAATGGGTGCTTAGTCTGACCAACTCACCTGTAAGAAAAGCGTCACAAAAATTTTGAATGTTACTGGTGAAGCAAAAGAAACTTATTGGTCTGTTTCTGTATACTAAATGCACAGAATTTAACTTCGAATTCAGATGTTAAGGCATATATGAGGCACTGAGAGTAGGAGTTCATGTGGACAGCCCCAACCTTCCTCAAACAGAGATAATCAAGGTAGAAAGATCCTGGATTTAGCAAAAACAGGCTGTTCTTTACCTGTTCATCATGTGTTACAAATTTGAGCTCCTAACAGTATTTCAGGTCTCATCAGGAAAAATAACCAAATGACTTCTTTAACTTTAAAATTCCAGATTTTTATGTGTGTTACTTCACTTCTGCGTTACACATACCGTGATTTGCAGCAGATAGTCACTGTTGCATTAATTGTACAACATCTTTCACAAAAGTATTTCCAGTTACCTTTGGATTCAAGTTTATTTCAGATAGTGTAATTCGCAAAAACAAAGTATGAAAACATTGAAATTGGAAAAGAAAGTAAAATAATATAAATGAAGTGAGTAAGAAAATACAATGAGGAATGAAATACAACATGCTCATTGAAATAGCTACAAAATAGTGAGAATACAAATAGTTATTGTTCATTTCATACTATTTTAGAGGAATAGGATCTATAGTTTGTTTAAATCATTGAACAACTTTCAGAAACAATGTCATGAAATAATAAAATTACAACCACCACAAATGTTTTCACAAACTTTTCTTGCACATCATAATCTTCACTATCTTTCTTCTTCAGTTCACTCATTGCATTACTTTCTGGATACAGCAGTTCTAACTCCTTTATAAGAGTAGATGTCCTCTTGGACACATTGACTTTATGAGATATGTTCACATGTTTCATTGGAATATTTAAAAAGTATATGAAAAGGCTGATTTTTCACAAATCGTAGCCACTGGATCGTGAACCACTCTATTTTGGTTTGATCAACTGATATTTTGGGGTTAGTAATATTCCTTTCAAGCATTTTTGTTGAAAAAACCCATGTGAAGTAATTTGAAAGGATTTTTCTTTCTTGCAGCTGCAATAATTTCATTCGAGTATTCTAAAATGTAAACGTAAAAATGCATTAAATGCAAATAAAAACATTTAAAGTTGGAGGTAAAAATTAAATTCAACTTACACTTGTCTATATGTAGGTACACATTTCTTAAAAACTATGCAGACCTTGGAAATTTTAAGTGTATACAGAACATGTGCATTGACTTAAATCTACCAGGAAAATTTCATTGGATGTTAGTTAGGGTATGTGTGTGTGTGTGTGTGCAAATTTTCTAATCAGAAATACACTTTTTAAGGTATTTTAAGTGAATATTATATTTCATAAATATTTTACAAATGAAATTTTTTTTTGTTGCATGCTCTGTATAGATCATGCCGTATTACATAACTCCAAAAAGTTCGGAAATGTACATGCAATAGTTTTAAATACCTGCACATGAATGTTGAAAAATTGAAGTTTTGGGAAAACACGTTTAAAGATTGAGGTGTTCTCTGCAGTTACAACCTGGTTAAAATTGTACTGCCTCATACTCATTACAATTTTGCATTTTATCATTCCTCTTCCTTTTGTCTGCTCTCTAAATGTTCTTGGCCTCTTTACATCTCTGTCCTTGTTCTGTGTATTTTTCTGCTTCAATTACCTGTTGGTGGTCAATGTTATGAGGTGCAGTTAGCATGCTCATCTCTGGTACTATGCTTATTTTCTCAAATACTTCACTTCTTTTCAGGAACCCATTGTTAAAACAAATCACTGCATCCAAGATACCAAACTTCATTGTTGTCATTCCTACAAATGTTTTTGGGTATTCTTTCCCACGAGTGGTGATTAAAACTTTCATTCGGATTTTGTGTGACACCATGCAAAAGTCTGCTAAGAAGACCTGCTTGGGGTCAGAAATATTCCTGTGTATAGGCTTTATTTCTTCCAGAACTGTGGCCTTTTACATTCAACCAATATTTAGACATGTGAAGTAATGTCTCTGTGGTGTGTATCAATGCACCATGTCTCTCTCTTGTTAACATCCCTCCACCACACTTTTCCCACCGAGAAAGCCAATTCTCAAAACTCAATAAATTTTGTGATGTGTTACAAGTTCTTGTAATGGATTTTTCAATCTGTCCTTCCAGTGGAGTTTTAATGTTCACAATATCCCACGACTTATAATTTCTATAAAGTTAGCTGTGCTTTCCCAATGGCTAAAAGGTTTCAGGCATCCCTACGCCTTCAATGCGACAATAGTATTAGTATTAAGTATACTTAAAGTGAGTTTTACATTTTGACTTTCAAAGAGTGGATGGTTTTTAAAGACAAATTGAAACTGTACTGCAATATATTATTATTTTCAGAAGGATGCAATATGACTCGCTGCTGAATCATTGAAATCAGGATACACAAATACCTGGTTTGGTTTGCTCAGCCAATTATTGCGGTTACGCTTCACTATATGAACTGTGTCAAGTGCATAATATAGTCTGTTATATAAAACTGTTTCCATCTTTTGATTGACCATACATTGTTTTTAATGGAGGTGGATCAGCAGACAGACATCGCTCTCTTATTTACTGCACGATTGTCTGATACTGCTGCTAATACCTCAAACCCAATTTTTTCTAGTCCACGAGTGATATTTTTCAACATTCCATGCAGTAGTTCACGTGTAATAGTTCACACAGGTAGAAGGTGGACTACTTTATATCCTGACATCATGCTAGTAACCATGAAGGCATATGCACCGGTGGCACATTCTCCATTATTAAACTCATTTCCAAATAAACATCCACCTTTATAATCTAAATTTTCTTTCAAATGAAATTCATCAATTAGTAGCACAGCTGTCTTATCCTGTGATGATATATGAAATTTAGGAGAAATGTAAAGTGATAATGTAGGCGGGTCTTGCTCCAAATGAGGGTTACTGGAAAACATGCTGCAAATTTGCCTAATAGTAGAGGGACTGGGTAGTCTCAAATTACCTGATGATCTCAGATATAAATATCCCTGAGGAGATATATAGTGAAGCAGACTGCAGAATATAAGTAATTCCCATGAATATCTTGTGCTAGTTTTAGGTAGTGAAAGTAACAATATTTGTTCTTTCATAAATCCAATGTGGATGTGCATCTCTGGCATTACTGTTTCCAAATGACCAAGAAAATTTGTGATGCAGTACAACATTTTTTATGGAGAAATTGTGACAACTATTGCACAAAACCCCACTAGTTTCATTAACAATATCCTCCAAGCCATGTATTATAGTGATCTTCCTTGGCAGTTTCCAAGATGGAAGAGAGTGGATTTCTGCATCCTCAATTCTTCTCTTACATTAATAGCACAAAGCATTCTTGGTTGATGGGTTCCTTTCACTAACACAAAATTTACATAATAATCATTCAGCAATATTGTTCAATCTGTAGGGAAATTTGTCACTTTGGATTTCAATTCTTCAATATTATGAAACTGTTGTGCGTCTGTAAAAAACACTTCTTTCCTGGATGGTACTTCTTACGGACTCATTCGCCTGGGAACTATTAAAGAACCAAAAGAGGAATCTCACAGTGTTGACACCTCGTGACGGGGAGCCAACCTGTCAAAGTGGCTTCTTTTGAGCTAACCTGAACACCGGGGCCTCCAAACGCTCGAGTCACATATTTGGGCTCTTGTGAGCACATGTTGAAGGCTGTGACATTCTTACGCCATCCAGGCATTTCAGACAAAGTAAGAGTTTACTCTGGTGTAAAAAACATTTACTCAAGTAACTTACAAGAGCATTTCACCAACACTTTATTCGAGAAT